ACACAAAGAAACCCTACTAAAAATAATTACATAATTTGACCGGCCTAAAACTAAATCCACAACAGACATAAATTAGCATCTTCCACCTTCCCAAACTGCAAAGGTCACAGAAACCCTCTACCACCCTCACCAAGTCATACTGAACCGTCCGCCATATATTCTCCCTAATCCATTCTTCCGCTAGGGCGGCAAACAAATAGGTGCCTGAAACATGAGAAACAAAATACTATATATCAGTCTTAAGCTATTTCCACTGCCCTTGCAAATCGCAAGAATTCTATTTCGTAGGTTCTACCAGCTAACACCAATAATTTTATATAGGACAACCATTTATTTTTAGAATTAAAAAAACATGAGAAGTCCAAACATCATCGCGATATTTAACGACTGAAACACTTCGAAATTGCCAAAGTCGTCAGTTCTAGAACATTAACTTAATAGGACAAATATATGGAATCAGGAATTCTCGAGAAGCTCAAACCTCATATGAGGAACATCTTCCCATGCTGCTTTCAATTAGTCTACCGTTTGGGAATCGAAAAGGTTACTTCTAGAATGTTACTTTAATTTACAATTATCAATTCAATCAAAGCAGTAGGTGTAGGCAAAATGATATGTCACGTGCATGTCACAAGTTTCCCGCACATTTTCCCTCCCACTATTTTGTTATTATATAGTATATATAGATATGTAATGCATATTAAACAACTGTAACACCCAAAATAAGATCATAGTACTGTTACATTAGGAGTATATGTAATGTAACAACTGACATAAAAATGTAACGACACATGTTAAACTGTTACATTACATCAACTTTTGGTAACACTTCAAACATATGTTACAATATTTTTGTTACAACAAGCCTTAAAATGTAGTAGTGTGTAATGAGAAGAATTGAACAATATTTAAAAAATAATAATTTTCGTAAAACAATAGCGTAAATTGTAGTCAAAGTAGAACATGTGAATAGTGTAAAATTCAACATGTTGCGATTAAAAAAACGGAGGATAGTATTATTTACTAGACATTTTTAAACTTTTCTAAGTATTTTTATTTTTTTCACGTTTTAATTATTAATTTATAACTATTTTATTTTTATATTTTTATTACGAATAAAATTATGATCTTCTTAGTTATAAAATAAATCTATTAGAAATTATAGGAAGGGGGTAGAATGGAAAGAAGGGACATATGTTAGTCCTATTTTGGGAATAAAAATGATTGTAGTCATATTGTTAAATTTTGGGTTAATTGTAGTCCTATTTAGGGCTAATACACCTAAAAACGAGTACTAGTAAAGAAAAAATAAAGTCGAAATAAAGTCTTTCCACAATACTCTTCTTGGCAGGAAGAGGCACTCTACCAATGTCTACGCACACCAAAAGAAGGTAGACAGAAACCATGACCTAGTACACCAAAACAACTCCTCACATCGAAAGAGACAAAACATCCCGGAGCATCAATGCCTGTGAAAGAACGGCCACAAATAAAACAACACAACCAGAAAAGAAGAGAAATTCAGTTGGATCATATCCATACCAAGTAGCTTCGAGGGTTGATATCAAAACATCCTCCGACTTCCACGATCAGCCCTTCTTTTCGTGGACGTTGCTACTTATTGGCAACGCAATCTCGCCGCACTAAGAACCCATGGACTAACGGACATTTCCCAGGCTTAGCCTAAGGTTTGAGGTTGTACAAGACCGACAAGTTGAAAATAGATACTAAACAAGAAAAAATTACATTTATATTACTACTAGAGAAGTCATTGACATTAATATTACTAACGACTATCTAGTTATTAATTGAAAATAAATTTTATTTCTCCATTCCTTATTTGACCTTCCGTTCGTTTCCTTGTCTTCAAAAACTTTCTCTTCCAATCATTTCTAGCTAAATTCTCCCGCTCGTTCCTACCATATCAAATACTCAAATCCCCTTTGTTAATCCAATAAACTTCCAAATCTAAACCCCACGTACAGGATAATGGTGGTCGGCGGATAGGTCTTAGCAATTTTGTGAATTTCTTTCATACGGTAAGAAGGAATTTTGGGAATTCTGGGAATATTTGATACACTTGTAAGACCAAGACTTAGTTACTACCTTGTGATTAAATACGTGCTTCAAGTAACTAATGACAAAATGCTCGTGACTACTACGTCTTTACTACTCATTAGTTACTCCACCTACGATTCTATCCAATATTCCATGGATTAGTGACTACCATCCACATATGTAAATGCATCACACCATTCTCTACTCATGCCAATTAATCTGAACGAATCCGAAGTACAATGATATAATCATGCTGAATTAATTTATAAATATTACACCAAACTAGAAAATTAGACCGTCATCGCATTCATCTTTAAGATTTTCCCTCTCTGTTTTAGTGATGTTTTGCGCCTCGAATCACTTCATCACCAACATCCAGAAGTTATTCATGCATGGACCCAACATCATCTCCATTATTTCGCTTCCGGAGCACCTTCTTCCAATTCCCACAATTTCAGCCTTTTATTTCTTTTCTTCGTAACTGTTTGGGGGTAACATAGTCTTTTAAATATTTCTTTTACCAGTCTACGTATGTGTTTATTCACCGTAGTAACTTCTTTGTAAATCCACTCACTATTGGCAATATTAATGTAAAAAACTCATCTACTATCAAATGTATTTTTTTTTATGTAAACATATTATCAAATGTATTGCAAATTTAAACATGAATTTTCCATCCCTAAGCTTGGACCTATCCTCAGCGTGGTATATGCTCTACAATCCGTTTGGTCAGGGACGGATCCAGAAAATTAAATTATTGGGGCACAAATTAACTAAGAGTGAGAAAAATTCTAGTAATTATAAATTAACTTTACAAGATGGAAAAAATTAATTTTAGCATACTAGAAAATATATATTTGTTAGTAACTGTATCAAGCACATCCTTTTCAACATAACAGATAAGACAACTATTCAAAAATCGGTCATTAATCTTATTGCGCAAACTCGATTTCACAATTTTCCTCCTAGAAAAGCATCTTTCAATAATGGCGGTTGCAACTGACAAAATCAGTGACAATTTAAATAGTGGATATACTAAGTGAACTGAAAGATGTTTTTTGGTATTCACCATTGTTTTAGCAAGATTGCCAAGACTTTTCGAGTGAGAGAATCATTCATTATCAAGCATGTCATTTATATAGAATTTTAGTTGATGCTCAAGAGGGAAAGTGTGATATTTGAACATTAACACATAAAATTTGTCCCGCAACCCCACTTTGATTAGATGAAGACGGTGATTTTCGTTTATAGAATTGCGTTATCATTGTTTAACTTGTCTAAAAAAATCAATTTTAAAAATTACTTGATTTACACAAAATAATACTTCATAAAAGAATGAATGGGTAATTACTTAATTACCTAATGACTTAGTTACAGGACGGTTTATGAGCCGTATTTTTGCTAATAAATTCCCTAATTACTTAATTCATTAGGCAAATGAATAAGTAAATAACTTAAAATAATGAATTAGTATTTTTGTAATTATTAATTACTAAATGAATTTCCAATTTACAACAAGAACTCATTAATTTTCTAATGAATTACGTAGTAACAATTAACAAAGTACCAAATAATGAATTTAAAAGAATGAATTAGTAATTTTCTAATAACTAATTACTTATTAGGAAGTAAAATATAAAAAAGGATGGCCTCACAACCTCAAAAAATTTACTGACCTAAAAAACAAAGTAGAAGATTAAAAGGCCAGAAGATTAATCGGAAAATAGAAGTGCGATTTAGAGACGGAAAGATGGAGAACCGGAGATCAGAAGATTGAATCGTCCAGACTAGGGCTGGACTCTGGCCGGTTCGGGCCCGGGCCGGACCTAGGCCCGATCGGGGCCGACGGTTCTGGAATGGGGGCCCGGGACCGGCCCGGGTAATCCCCGGGTCCGGGTCGGGCCTCGGGTATTTGTAATTTTTTTCCCTTTTCCTAGTTAACCCCCCACCCCACCCCACCCCAAACCACCCCAAATGGCCCAAAATACCCAGCCCAACCCGAAAAGTAAAAAAAAAATAAAAAATAAAAATAAAAAACTAAAAAGGCCCGGAACCGGGCCCGAACCGGCCGGGCCGGTTCAGGATTTGGGGGACCCCGAGCCCGGACTGGAACCCCCGCGGGTCGGGCCTACCCGGAACCCGGACCAGTCACTGACCGGGCCACCGGGCCGGAACTGTGCCGGTTCGGGCCGGTTCCGGGTCGGGCTACCCGGCCCGAGTCCAGGCCTAGTCCAGACTCTAGTGATTCGTATTCGCATATTAAAACTTAAAAGTCGGAGGGTTGTCGTATGGTGTAACACCGTCCCCAAATGTATTTACTTTCAAGTAAATGATGTAATAAACCTTATGGAATGATTTACGAATTTACGAAGTTGTAAATTTTTATTATTCTTTCGCGTGAATAGTAAATTGCACGTGGGGCCCACACCGGGAGCGGGGGCCGCCCGACACTCCCGAGACCACATATTTTATTCATCTTGGTCAAGATAATATTTATATAGTGGTGGACATTTCGTTTGAGTCGTGGAAAGGCGCAGAGTTGACCGATTGGGGAAAAAGAGACCCAATTACCGGTACCGACAATTTAACAGATAACAGCCCGAAAATGAATTTCGGAGGCTTATAAATTAAAGTTGGGGAATGTACATTCATTATACATGTCATAATGAGTAAGAGCACATAATATATTTTATTTGAACCGATAAAATAAAATATATTTAAAGCAGTCCGAAAAATACAACTTTCGGGACAAATTGTACACTTCGGGACAAAAAGGGTTGACCTCCCACATGAGTGGGGGCCAACCCACGATTTTTGCCACTCAAATTGAGGGCTGGGTCGGTTGGCATAGAGAGGAGAAACATGGGGGATGGTGATGTGATCCTTTTAGCATCAAACAAAGAGGAGGTGGCCCCATCCACACTCATTTGCTCTATGAGACAAATGAGTATACCTCACCCCTTCCCCTCCCTCATTTTCGGCCAAGGAGAACCAGGGAGAGCAAGAAAATCCACCCAACCTCCTTCCTCCATTGTTGAAGAAAGCTCATCAAAGAGGAATCACCCAAAAAGGAGCTAAAGTGCTAAAAGTGTGAAATAATTAAGGTAATGACCTTATTATAACTTTTTCTTTATTTTTCTTCTACCATATGAGATATATATCATGTGAAGAATCCTTAAGAGGGTTCTACATGTTATAAGTATGGATTAATGGGTTGGAAAGTGATTCTATGTCCAAGAACGGACTTAGAAGCCAAAACGACCGGTTCACCGGAAAATAACCTTTTTGAGGTTATTTGTATTAATATGGGTTTTATGATTATAAAACCTTGTTAGGGAATTGTAAAGGGTATTTCAAGTGATTTCACAAAGTTGGAAAAGTCGCCGGAGTAGTCGCCGGAGTTGACCAAAAGTCGCCGGAGTTTCACCGGAGTTCAACCAAGAAGGGTAAAACTTCAAAACGCTAGCTCAAGGTGAGTGGACGGCTTAATATCTTATAACTTTTGGGTTAATTATGAGATTACCTAAATAAATGTTATATGTTTTCATAATGATGTTTAAAAGATAATTAAACATGTGATTAGCCAACATTATCAAGTTGTATGAAAAGAATTAATTGATTATGCATGAAATATGATATGAGAGATTATATAAAATGCACATTAGCTTGAAGTGTAAAAGAAGCTCAAATGAGTATTATTGACTTAATTATATGATGATTAAGTTGATGTGAACAAGGCTTGAATTGGCGGTCAACGACAACGTTGACCGATGGATGATGGATTAATTAATATCGGTTGATGTTAGTTAATTATACATTTATTTAAATGCATGGCTTTGCATGGATTGTGATACATAAGATTTATGTATTGGATTAGTTATGAGTAACTAAGGATGATATAGACTCTATCTAGGTTGATAGGAGGTTGATCATAGGAAAACTTGGTGGAGGACCCTAGTACTTAAAAAGTACTTAACACTCAAACTTGGTGGAGGACCCTAGTACTTAAAAAGTACTTAACACTCAAACTTGGTGGAGGACCCTAGTACTTAAAAAGTACTTAACACTCAAACTTGGTGGAGGACCCTAGTACTTAAAAAGTACTTAACACTCAAACTTGGTGGAGGACCCTAGTACTTAAAAAGTACTTAACACTCAAACTTGGTGGAGGACCCTAGTACTTAAAAAGTACTTAACACTCAAACTTGGTGGAGGACCCTAGTACTTAAAAAGTACTTAACACTCAAACTTGGTGGAGGACCCTAGTACTTAAAAAGTACTTAACACTCAAACTTGGTGGAGGACCCTAGGACTTAAAGTCCTTAACACTCAAACTTGGTGGAGGACCCTAGTACTTAAAAGTACTTAACACTCAAAACTTGGTGGAGGACCCTAGGACTTAAAAGTCCTTAACACTCAAACTTGGTGGAGGACCCTAGTACTTAAAAGTACTTAACACTCAAACTTGGTGGAGGACCCTAGGACTTATGAGTCCTTAACACTCACAAACCGGTGGAGTATCCAAGGATTATGATCCTAAAACTCATAGATTGTGATATACAAGTAGGGACAAGGAGGAGTCCTATACACTCATAGGTATATGGGTGGGTTGGGGTTTTTTTTTAGTCAAGAATATTGACTATTACTATTTTCCCGAATAAAATGGTGATCTACGGATCGGATATTTTCCAAGTATATATATATATACTAATAAGTATTTCATAACTTGGGGGAAAGATTATTTATTTAAGTATCACCCTATGTTTGGGTCTTATACTTGAAACGCTAGTTATTCTATATTTAGCCTGCTACTCGCTCGGTACTTGTACTGACCCCTTCGGGGGGCCCCACCATTTTCAGGTTGAAGCTAGAGCTTGCTACTTGCACCTTCTCACGGGTGATATCAAATCAGGGAGACGTGGTTCGTGCTTCCTTATTTTCTTTCAAACTACCGAACACTTGCTCATGGATATTTGTTTTACTACAAACTATTTTTGGGGCTTGCATGCCCATGTTGTCGGCCGGTTGTGGCCCATGACTTACCGTTGAATATTTCCGCTATTCATTGGTTTAATGTGATGTTGTTATGTATGTTTACTACTGAGTATGGATGGATTGTTTTCTCGAACGCCTTGTGTAATTAAGTGAGGTTGACCCGTGGGTGACGTCACTTAGTTATACGGCGGTTGTACACGCGCTTGGATTGCGGTCTGGGGCGTGACAATTAAGTGGTATCAGAGCCATCTCAGTTCTAAATTATATAATCAACCTCTCACAGGAGATTTTACAAAAGAGTTTTCACCGAAAACCATGAGCACTGTATTTTGACGTTTATGGGACTATTGGAGCTTAAGTTGCAAGGCCTCTAATTGTTAAGACGGTACCCTTAACAGTTGGTATGGTAGTGACTCGGGCCAATACGTGTCTGTAACGTTCTTCCGTCAATTGACATTTATAGGAGTCTAACGACTCATTCATATTTCTTTCAGAAATGGAGGGCAGGCGAATGGGGACCAGGAACAATCCGAGAGGGCAAGCGCCGGTGACATCCCAAAGGGGAAGCCGGGCTGCATCTCGGGGTTCGGGAGGAGGCCGGGGAGGCCGTGGGAGCCGTGGAGGTCATCAAGCTCAAACTGTGAGTGATGGCCATGTGAGCTCGGTGTATGAAACCAACACCGAGGACTATGACTCAACCTATGTTCCAGAAACGGAGCACGAGGAGACCCCGTATGATGGGGGTGACACATACACCGATGATGATGATGAAGAGAGTGATGCCAAGTTCGCCCAAATGGGCGAATTGCTTGAGTGGTATCAAAAAGAAAAGCTGAGGAGAGACCTTAGGCGCCAAGCAAGGCGTGGCTCTCGCGGTGCTTCGGGTCAAGGAAGCCGGGGAGCTTCAAGGGCCACTCCCGTGGCGCCACATGATGGGCGTGAAGGAGGTTTTGTTGTAAGGATCTCCAAGTACCTCAAGGAGGCTAGGGCCTTGGGGTGTAGGTCCTTTGACGGCACCGGTGACATTACCGTTGCCGCCGATTGGATCAAGAAGGTGAAGGATGCATCAAGGGACATGCAAATCACACCGGACGTGAAGTTGACTGTCGCTTCACGGCTCCTTGAAGGGATAGCTTCTACGTGGTGGGAGAGCGTGGAAGGGAAGTACCATGGGGAAATAACATGGGCGGACTTTGAGCTAGAGTTCTATGCTCAATACTACTCCGAGTACGAGGTGAATGTGAAACGGAGAGAGTACACTAACCTCAAACAGAAAGAGGGCGGCACAGTTAAGCAACTGGAACAAGAGTTTAGAACCTTGGCTAGGTTCTTGCCGGAGTACGCGGTTGATGAGAACCGCATGACGGAGCACTTTTGGGATGCCCTACTCTTGGACATCCGTGACCGAGCTACGTACTCGCGTCACATGACCTTCAGTGAGGTGGTGGAGCAGGGCCTTCTCGGGGAGGCCCAATGGAATGAGAGAAAAGAGAGAGACGCCGAGGAGGCGAAAAAGAGGAAATGGCAAAGTTCGGGGCCGCCCGAGCAAGCACGGAAGGATAAGCACGGTGGAGGTGGCGGTTCGTTCAAGACACCGGCACCACCGGCAAAGAAGAACAGGGATGCTCGGTGGCATGCATCCTCCTCACAAAGGACGGGGCCTCCAAAGTGTGCCAATTGTTCGAAAAATCATTTTGGGAAGTGCAATGCACCCCCAAGGTGTTATCAATGCGGGAACACGGGCCACATGAAGGCAAATTGCCCACAATTAGGGGGAGGAGGAGCTCCGGGATCCGGAGGAGGAACCATGACGGGAAGGAACCGTGCGGGGCCGTCAAACGGCGGCACGGGAAGAGGCGGCGCATCCACAAGCCATGCCGCATCCGTCAACCAAGGTGGGACCCAAGCCCGAGTGTACTCGATGACCGAGGCGGATGCGAGAGCTAACCCGGATTCCGTTGCAGGTATTGCCTCTCGTATACTAGTGTTTTATCCTTAATTAGTCCATAAATTGAGGTTACTAATTTTTAGGATCGATGCACGAAGCTTTAGGGTCGAACCGGGAGGATTTCGGACCATTTTGGGCTGTTTTCGCCCAGGCACGGTCGTGCCTAGGATAGGCACGATCGTGCCTACAAGGCAGTAGGTACCTGCGCTTCTCTCCGACCCAGGCACGATCGTGCCTAAGGCACGCACGATCGTGCCTGCAAGGCAGTGTCTGCCAGTGCATTGTTCCGACCCAGGCACGATCGTGCCTAAGGGAGGCACGATCGTGTCTCCCAGGCAGTGGCGTCCTGGCTTCCTCCCGAGCCAGGCACGATCGTGCCTACCCCAGGCACGACGTGCCTGGCACCCAGAATGCCTAAAACTAAGTTTTTCGCACCTTTTCGCGACGTTAAGACCTTTTCTTGATCAGTAATGTGGGTGTGAACATTGTAACCTTCTATAAATGAGTAGGGAGGGTAGGAAAGATGTCTCACATGGTGTATAAATGTAGGAACATTAAAGATCAATGGTAGGTGTGCGAGGATCCTCATCGATACCGGGGCACAACGCTCATTTGTGAGTGAGGCGTTCGCCGAGGGCATTGACGTGCCATTGACACCTATGACGCAAACGTTGCTAGTCTCCACACCGTTAGGAGACGACGTGGAGAGGAATCATTACTATCCGTCGTGTGAGGTAGAAGTGACGGGTCAACCTTTGACTTGTGATTTCGTACCTCTAAGCATGTTGGAGTTCGATGCAATCCTAGGAATGGATTGGCTTGAGAAGCACCATGCTCGAGTAGATTGCTACACCAAGGTGTTGGAGCTCGAGGATGAGCAAGGAAACATGCTACGTTTTGAAGGAGATCGGGGGAAATCTAATGCTTGTATCATATCCGTGATGAGAGCACGAAAGATGATGAGGAAGGGATGCCACGCATACCTTGCTTACGTGGTAGATGATACGAAGAAAGAAGTCGACATCAAGGATGTTCGAGTCGTGTGCAAGTACCCGGACGTCTTTCCCAAGGACCTACCGGGGCTTCCACCCGATAGAGAGATTGAATTTGTAATCGAAGTGGAGCCGGGAACCAAACCCATTTCGATTCCTCCTTATCGAATGGCACCGGCCGAACTTCAAGAGTTGAAGGTCCAGCTACAAGAACTATTGGACAACGGGTTCATCAGACCCAGTCATTCACCGTGGGGAGCACCCGTACTCTTCGTAAAGAAGAAAGATGGTACACTAAGAATGTGTATCGACTACCGACAGTTGAACAAGGTCACAATCAAGAACAGGTATCCTTTACCTAGGATTGATGACTTGTTTGATCAACTTCGAGGGGCTATAGTATTCTCGAAGATTGACTTGAGGTCGGGGTATCATCAGTTGAAGATCAAGGAGAGCGACATACCTAAGAGTGCATTTCGCACTAGGTATGGTCATTACGAGTTCCTTGTGATGTCATTTGGTTTGACCAACGCACCGGCGGCATTCATGGACTTGATGAACCGGGTGTTTAGTGAATACTTAGATCAATTTGTGATAGTATTCATTGATGATATCTTAATATACTCCAAGAGTGAGGAGGAGCACGAACATCACTTGGGGCTTATACTTGATCGACTAAGGGAAAAACAACTCTTTGCCAAGTTCTCTAAATGCGAATTTTGGCTCAAGGAGATTGGTTTTCTCGGTCACGTCATATCCGGTTCGGGCGTTGCTGTGGATAACGCCAAGATAAAGGCTATCATGGATTGGGAGAGACCCAAGAATGTGAAAGAGATACGTAGTTTCCTTGGCCTAGCGGGATACTATCGTAAATTTGTTGAAAAATTTTCTGTATTGGCGTCTCCATTAACGAAGCTCACAAAGAAAGGGGCCAAGTTCATATGGGACGACAAGTGTGAGAAAGGGTTCCTTGAACTGAAGAAACGACTTACCGAAGCACCAGTCCTTACCCTACCCATACAAGGGATAGGGTATGATATATACAGCGATGCTAGCATCCAAGGGCTTGGATGTGTACTGATGCAAAACGGTAAAGTGATTGCATATGCTTCAAGGCAATTGAGAAAGCACGAGGTGAACTACCCTACCCATGACCTAGAATTGGGGGCGGTAGTGTTTGCGCTGAAAATCTGGAGGCATTATCTCTACGGGGAGACATGTCACATTTTTACAGACCATAAGAGCTTGAAGTACGTATTCACTCAGAAAGAGTTGAATATGAGGCAGAGGAGATGGATGGAGTTGATCAAGGACTATGACTTGATCATCGACTATCATCCCGGAAGGGCCAATGTCGTGGCCGACGCACTGAGCAGGAAGAATACGACAGGGGCGCTACTCACATGTCTACAGGCATTGAGGGCACGCGTGGAGGTGTCCACGTGTGGGGCTCTCATTGCTCTATTCGAGGTTAGGCCCACCCTATTGGGCGAGATTAGTCGGAGTCAGGCCATGGATGAGGAATGTCAGAAGATCCGTGAAAGGATCTTGGAAGGACCCGTTGAGAATTTTCGGGTACGTGATGACGGTCTTTTATTGTTTAAAGATCGTGTGTGCATACCAAGGAATGAGGAACTCCAGAAATCTATACTTGAGGAGGCTCATTCTTCGGCTTATGCTATGCATCCAGGAGGTACTAAGATGTACCGAGATTTGAAGGAAAGTTACTGGTGGTCAGGTATGAAAAGAGACATCGCCGAGTATGTGAGTCGATGCCTTACTTGCCAGCAAGTTAAGGCAGAACATCAGCACCCGGCAGGGCTCTTGCAGCCACTCACCATCCCAGAGTGGAAGTGGGAGCATGTGACCATGGACTTCGTGGTGGGGCTGCCACGAACAGTGAACAACTACGATGCCGTTTGGGTAGTGGTTGATAGGCTCACCAAGAGTGCACACTTTCTGCCTATCAACATTACTTATCCTCTTGAAAGATTGGCCAAGCTATACACGGAGGAGATTGTGAGATTACATGGAGTCCCAATATCCATTGTCTCGGATAGGGATCCACGATTCACATCCCGATTTTGGCCAAAGTTTCAAGCATCTTTGGGGACTAAACTGAAGTTTAGCACAGCTTTTCACCCACAGACGGATGGACAGTCCGAGCGGGTGATACAGATTCTGGAAGACATGCTTAGGGCATGTGCTTTGGAATTCCAAGGAAGTTGGGACAAGCATTTGGCTCTAGTGGAGTTTGCTTATAACAACAGTTATCAAGCAAGTATCGGCATGCCTCCATATGAAGCATTGTATGGGAGGAAATGCAGAACACCGTTGTGTTGGGACGAGGTTGGCGAGGCCAAACTCGAAGGGATAGAACTGGTTGAGATCACCAAGGCCAAGGTAAGGATCATTCGGGATAGACTGAAGGCCGCTCAGGACCGACAGAAGAGTTATGCTGACAAACGGCGGAGACCGTTGGAGTTCGAGGTCGGTGATGAGGTTTTTCTAAGGATTTCTCCTTGGAAGGGCATCATCCGATTTGTATCGAGGGGGAAGCTTAATCCCCGATACATTGGTCCATTTGAAATCCTTGAAAGGATTGGAGCTGTGGCTTATCGTCTCAAGTTGACACCAGAGCTTGAGAAGATACATGACGTGTTTCATGTATCGATGCTCAAGAAGTACATACGAGACCCATCTCATATTCTTGAGAAACCACCGGTAGAGATCCGAGAGGACTTGCATTATGCGGTGGAACCAGTGAAGATTGTTGGTCAACAAGTGAAGAAGCTTAGGAATAAGGAGATTCCTATGGTAAAGGTCCTTTGGAGGAGTGATCGAGTCGAAGAAGAAACTTGGGAGACCGAGGTCTCAATGAGGGAGCAATACCCATTTCTTTTCGATTAGATACTTGGATTTCGGGGACGAAATCCCAATAAGGGGGGGTGAACTTGTAACACCGTCCCCAAATGTATTTACTTTCAAGTAAATGATGTAATAAACCTTATGGAATGATTTACGAATTTACGAAGTTGTAAATTTTTATTATTCTTTCGCGTGAATAGTAAATTGCACGTGGGGCCCACACCGGGAGCGGGGGCCGCCCGACACTCCCGAGACCACATATTTTATTCATCTTGGTCAAGATAATATTTATATAGTGGTGGACATTTCGTTTGAGTCGTGGAAAGGCGCAGAGTTGACCGATTGGGGAAAAAGAGACCCAATTACCGGTACCGACAATTTAACAGATAACAGCCCGAAAATGAATTTCGGAGGCTTATAAATTAAAGTTGGGGAATGTACATTCATTATACATGTCATAATGAGTAAGAGCACATAATATATTTTATTTGAACCGATAAAATAAAATATATTTAAAGCAGTCCGAAAAATACAACTTTCGGGACAAATTGTACACTTCGGGACAAAAAGGGTTGACCTCCCACATGAGTGGGGGCCAACCCACGATTTTTGCCACTCAAATTGAGGGCTGGGTCGGTTGGCATAGAGAGGAGAAACATGGGTGATGGTGATGTGATCCTTTTAGCATCAAACAAAGAGGAGGTGGCCCCATCCACACTCATTTGCTCTATGAGACAAATGAGTATACCTCACCCCTTCCCCTCCCTCATTTTCGGCCAAGGAGAACCAGGGAGAGCAAGAAAATCCACCCAACCTCCTTCCTCCATTGTTGAAGAAAGCTCATCAAAGAGGAATCACCCAAAAAGGAGCTAAAGTGCTAAAAGTGTGAAATAATTAAGGTAATGACCTTATTATAACTTTTTCTTTATTTTTCTTCTACCATATGAGATATATATCATGTGAAGAATCCTTAAGAGGGTTCTACATGTTATAAGTATGGATTAATGGGTTGGAAAGTGATTCTATGTCCAAGAACGGACTTAGAAGCCAAAACGACCGGTTCACCGGAAAATAACCTTTTTGAGGTTATTTGTATTAATATGGGTTTTATGATTATAAAACCTTGTTAGGGAATTGTAAAGGGTATTTCAAGTGATTTCACAAAGTTGGAAAAGTCGCCGGAGTAGTCGCCGGAGTTGACCAAAAGTCGCCGGAGTTTCACCGGAGTTCAACCAAGAAGGGTAAAACTTCAAAACGCTAGCTCAAGGTGAGTGGACGGCTTAATATCTTATAACTTTTGGGTTAATTATGAGATTACCTAAATAAATGTTATATGTTTTCATAATGATGTTTAAAAGATAATTAAACATGTGATTAGCCAACATTATCAAGTTGTATGAAAAGAATTAATTGATTATGCATGAAATATGATATGAGAGATTATATAAAATGCACATTAGCTTGAAGTGTAAAAGAAGCTCAAATGAGTATTATTGACTTAATTATATGATGATTAAGTTGATGTGAACAAGGCTTGAATTGGCGGTCAACGACAACGTTGACCGATGGATGATGGATTAATTAATATCGGTTGATGTTAGTTAATTATACATTTATTTAAATGCATGGCTTTGCATGGATTGTGATACATAAGATTTATGTATTGGATTAGTTATGAGTAACTAAGGATGATATAGACTCTATCTAGGTTGATAGGAGGTTGATCATAGGAAAACTTGGTGGAGGACCCTAGTACTTAAAAAGTACTTAACACTCAAACTTGGTGGAGGACCCTAGTACTTAAAAAGTACTTAACACTCAAACTTGGTGGAGGACCCTAGTACTTAAAAAGTACTTAACACTCAAACTTGGTGGAGGACCCTAGTACTTAAAAAGTACTTAACACTCAAACTTGGTGGAGGACCCTAGTACTTAAAAAGTACTTAACACTCAAACTTGGTGGAGGACCCTAGTACTTAAAAAGTACTTAACACTCAAACTTGGTGGAGGACCCTAGTACTTAAAAAGTACTTAACACTCAAACTTGGTGGAGGACCCTAGTACTTAAAAAGTACTTAACACTCAAACTTGGTGGAGGACCCTAGGACTTAAAGTCCTTAACACTCAAACTTGGTGGAGGACCCTAGTACTTAAAAGTACTTAACACTCAAAACTTGGTGGAGGACCCTAGGACTTAAAAGTCCTTAACACTCAAACTTGGTGGAGGACCCTAGTACTTAAAAGTACTTAACACTCAAACTTGGTGGAGGACCCTAGGACTTATGAGTCCTTAACACTCACAAACCGGTGGAGTATCCAAGGATTATGATCCTAAAACTCATAGATTGTGATATACAAGTAGGGACAAGGAGGAGTCCTATACACTCATAGGTATATGGGTGGGTTGGGGTTTTTTTTTAGTCAAGAATATTGACTATTACTATTTTCCCGAATAAAATGGTGATCTACGGATCGGATATTTTCCAAGTATATATATATATACTAATAAGTATTTCATAACTTGGGGGAAAGATTATTTATTTAAGTATCACCCTATGTTTGGGTCTTATACTTGAAACGCTAGTTATTCTATATTTAGCCTGCTACTCGCTCGGTACTTGTACTGACCCCTTCGGGGGGCCCCACCATTTTCAGGTTGAAGCTAGAGCTTGCTACTTGCACCTTCTCACGGGTGATATCAAATCAGGGAGACGTGGTTCGTGCTTCCTTATTTTCTTTCAAACTACCGAACACTTGCTCATGGATATTTGTTTTACTACAAACTATTTTTGGGGCTTGCATGCCCATGTTGTCGGCCGGTTGTGGCCCATGACTTACCGTTGAATATTTCCGCTATTCATTGGTTTAATGTGATGTTGTTATGTATGTTTACTACTGAGTATGGATGGATTGTTTTCTCGAACGCCTTGTGTAATTAAGTGAGGTTGACCCGTGGGTGACGTCACTTAGTTATACGGCGGTTGTACACGCGCTTGGATTGCGGTCTGGGGCGTGACATATGGGCCGTATCACCCTTACAACTCCGTTAAGGCTTAAGGCAGCAATCCATAGTCCGTATTGGGCCTATTGAATTATTGTGCATTGTCTATTGATAATTGGTCTATGAATCTATATATATATAAAAGCTGAATCGTGAGTACGAATAGGAACAATCTGGCCATTGAAATTTTGCACGTGTCAAAACATACAAATATCCCACAACATTCACCATCACCAATCCATGCAACCACGTGGAACCTCCAATGCAGTAGTGGGGCAGTTACGTACACCACGACCAGCACGTCCTTTATATGGCATAATTCTGCAACACAAAGGAGTTCCACGATCACAAGGTAATTCTAAAAAACGTTGATGTCCACACTTCAAAATTTAAAGTTGGTGCTAGAGGTACCTCATTTGGTACCCCATTTGTACACCCTTCCTATATTTGTGGTTCACAAAAGCCCAACACATTAAATGAATTGCTCCATTTTAATGAATTACTTTTGTGAACCACAAATATAGGGAGGAGGTACAAAATGAGGTACAAATTGAGATACCAATAGCATTTGTGTTTAAAGTTTTCACAGACCAACTGATTCACACTTTTCTATTTATACAAGGTGACAGAGTTCATGTCACAATTCGTCGAGAATGGTTAGTTGTTAGAGACATAGACGTCATTCAGCGGTTCTTTAGGAATTTCAACATTAATATAACCTGGCGACAATTCAGTCAAACAAAATTATCAAGTATTACTGAGCATTTGATGACGGCTCCTAGGAAATATGACTAGGAAGTAATTTCATTGCAAGATCTGCAGAGCAAGAACGTCTGACACTTTCTGCACTCTTAGTTCCAATTAAAACTATTTCTTCTTTTATTACTTTAGAAGATTGATTATGCTAATGCTAATATACAAAGCAAATGGAAAATTGAAAATAATAATCCCAAATATGGATTATTTTTGTATAATCCCAACTATATAGACTGTCCGCCAATAATGGTCCATGACCAAATATTACCCCCTATAACAAGTTAATTTTAAATAGAAATTAAACGTAAAAATTAAACGTTGGAATTATTTATAGGAATTACTTGCTATATCTCATCTCATCCACTTTAGAAACTATAAGAATTTATTCATAGAGACCATTATTGGCGGAAGGTCCTTAAAGTTGGGATTATTCTGGAATAATCAATGGTTGGGATTATTATGAGCGGACCGCCAATAGTTGGGATTATTACTATCAATTTTTCCATCTCCAATTAAAGATGATGTACAAGAATAAGGATATGGAGATTCAAGAAAAAATCATCACAAATTCAAGTAACAGGAGCAATGGAAACCGCTCCAGAAGCAGTATTCCAGGTGTGATTCAGTCTATTACTCCATATTAGTCTATTTAGAGCCATTATCTTTTATGATACTTTGAATATTTTTAGAATTCAATATAATCTTTTTTATTACATGCTTTATGATAAAAAGAAAATCTGTCGGAGAAGATATACTTTTTGTATATTGAACATATGTAAAAAGTGTTGTTTATATAAATTATTTCTATTAAAAGCTAAAAATGTTGATAAATATTGCTCTATCTTATGAAAATTAAAGTTCCAGATAGAACACTTCAAATATCTTTGGCACATTGGATTATATAAATTAATATGTATGATGTTTTTATAAAATTTAAGGAAATTTTGCTCAAATAGAACACTTCAAAACAGCGTTAAATGAATGGTAATATGGTATCATTTATATAGTACTCCGTAAATCAATATATATATATAAAAGAGGAACTTTTTAAGAGCATACAGCGCGCCACATAATCCTGCCATGTCATCATATATTACAATTATTTAATTACTATTTATACATTTTATTGTTTTTATTACATTCTATTTTTATTGCATATTGATATGGAAACAGAAGATCGTATGATAGAATCCACCTTATTTGGTAACTTTTCAGAATGTACTTCTTACTCCGTATGAATATGGATATTTATTAAATCAATATATATATATATATATATATATATATATATATATATATATATATATATATAAGAGGAACTTTTTAAGAGCATACGACGCGTCACATAATCCTGCCATGTTATCATATATTACAATTATTTAATTACTATTTATACATTTTATTGTTTTTATTACATTCTATTTTTATTGCATATTGATATGGAAACAAAAGATCGTATGATAGAATCCACCTTATTTGGTAACTTTTTCAGAATGTACTACTTACTCCGTATTAATATGGATATTTATTAAAATATATATAAAAGAGGAATTTTAAGAGCATCTGGCGTGCCACATAATCCTGTCATGTCATCATATATAACAATTATTTAATTACTATTTATACCTTTTTTTACATTCTATTTTTTTATTACATATTGATATGGAAACAAAAGACCGTCGCGTATGATAAAATCCACCTTATTTAATACCTTTTTCAGAATCTACTACTTACACCGTAGTAATATGGATTGTTATTAAAATAAGCAATTATTGCAACCACAACAATAAATAGTCATCCGTGCACATAGACTTTATTTAATTTAATTATTTTTATACTTTTATTTTTATTACATTCTATTGAGAAGTGAATTATCCGTGTTTTGTGCACCTAACAAATAAGTCATCCAAGTTCCTATCAATTTTGTTCTTCAAAGTTATTTTATAAATAAAGTAATAATAGTGTTCCATTTCCTAAAAAGTACGGAGTAATATTTTATTTTTCTAAACTCAATTTTTTGAATGTTTTCAAGCATCTTACCTTTATGAGGATGGAAATGGAAATTCATATCATACATATATGAATACGTTTAGCCCAGCAAAAAAAGTAAACATGTTTAGTTGTTTCTTTATTTTTACAACTACAATTTAGATTTTCCATCACTTTTGACATAGATTCCTAATCTAAATTAGGAAATCTTCATACATTTAGGGTGTTTTTAATTGGACTGGTTTCAGTCTTAGACAAGATCGGATCAAATATCAATCATAATTATTATTATTATTATTATTATTATTATTGTTGTTGTTGTTATTATTATTATTATACATAAAATAGACATCTTCCAGACCAAGTTAGAAATGAACATGTCAATCTAATTAAAAATATCACTATTAATGACATTTTCAATGTGACGAAATAAATGAGTAAATTGTAAAAATGATCCCCTTTTTACATTTCAATGTGACAAAATAATGAGTACAATGTAAGAGCTCACTAATAAATATACAAATACTTATTTCATACCACATGTTGAATGAGAAATAATTAAAAATAGTTTTTTAGATGTTTAATGAAGTAATATAGAGGATGTGAAATTAATTAAGAAACTTTTGTATGAATTCTTTAAAATCGGGTTCATAACCATTATGTTTAGTTGAGATGCTTATGTAGAAGTCCAATTTAAATATTTTTCATATAAATTTGAATTACTTTTATTAATTATATATGATTTCGAAAATATCAAATATACAGTTAGCTAAATTATGTACTACCCGTGCATCGCACGGGCTTGAAAGCTAGTAATTCATATAAACAAAAATCTTTACTTCATTCCTAAATTACAGTATCGATCATATTCTGGATTTTTATAATGTATAGTAAATGTGGATCGCTTGACAATAAAGCGTACACGAGTGGAGGAACATGTAAAAGCTGACCCATTAGACGTTAGAATGCCTTTCAAGTTCCAACTAATTAAGAGCCCATTTGGTAGCATCAAAATTGACTGTTTTGGCTGATTCTGCTGAAATTTATGAAATTCTGGCTGAAGTGGCTGCATTGGCTGATTCTGTTGATTTGAGAAAAAATTATTTTTAAAATATATTTTATTAATAAAATAACGAAAAAATTATATTTAAAAAAAACTAAAATGGTCATTTACAGTAACTTCAGTCAATACAGCCAGAAAAGTAACTTCAATCATACTTTTTCTGCGTATTACACAATTCAGCGTGCGAAAGCAAAAGTTACGTGTTTGGTGAAAAAGTTGGCTGATAAGCCTGTTAAGCCGAAAAACAGTGTTACCAAAAGGCCTCTAAGACAATTCCCTGTAATTGTTTCATATGCAATGACAATCAACAAAAGCCAAGGACAATCGCTATCCCATGTTGGGTTGTTCCTAAGAAACCCGGTATTCTGTCATGGTCAACTTTATATAGCCGTTTCCTGAGTTACCAGACGTGAAAGATTGAAAACATTGATAAGCGACTGATGGTTCCTCCAATGGCTCAACATTTGATAAATGTTGTATACTCAAAAGTTTTTCAAAACATGAAGTTTGTTTTGTATTATATTGTTCCTTATTTCTAATTCAACAACTTATTAACATCTCTCTCATATCATACACTGAGTATTTATTTCATTCGTATTATATTAAAAAATGCGTATTGTTTAGATATTTCTATATGTGCATCTCATAACTAAACTAAAACCAAAATTTGTCCCGTGCATCGCACGGGTACGATACTAGTTAAATTAAAAAATAAAAGTAAAAGCAAAAAATAAAATTAAAAGGGGATTAGAAAATGGGCGTGTATGCTTATCACTTCATTGGCTAGAGTGTTGGTGCGTTGGAGTTACCAAGTGCTCTCTATAAGTTAATGGGGTCCCCTATTATTTTGATTGGGGGCGCACCTCATTTATAACATATTTATCCATAATATATACATATGTTAACATTAAAAAGTAGGAGGTTATTGGGGGGGGGGGGGGGGAACGTGCCCCCAATGGTTGTACCGCTATACACTAGTTGAAATTTAACAAAGGTCTAGCACTCTAGTCTATTCATCACATAAAATGAGGAGCAACTAAAAAAAACCTTGAAAAGGGTTTCCTCTCACTTATATTTGATAAAAAAGGCCTCATCACGCCACTTGTCCTATGTCAAATCGCCTAGCATGTTGTCATCCCCACACGCCTTTACTGGTCCATAAACGCTAGTGCAGAAAATAATATGCCCAGCCGGCCAGCCCTGTGGGACGTTCAGAATGTGTGAAATTGGAGCATTTAATTTTTGCATAATCATATATATTGGGGAAAACTATCAAACAAGTCTCATACTATGTAAAA